CCTATTTTGACCACCCTGTATACATTGTCACAGAGTTAACCGCATCAAACACGAAAATAAAAGTTGTCAAGCGAGAAGCACCCTGTATATACGAATTGAAGACAAACAAATATATATTTAGGACTATTTTGACCACCCTGTATACAGTGCCAGAGAGTTAACAGTATCAACCACGAAAAAAACAGTTCGCAAGCGAAAAGGTGAGCGACAAAAATTCATTTTGGTATATTTTGATCATCCTGTATGCAGTATCATAGAATCAACCGCATCAAACACAAAAAAAAAGTTCTCAAGCAAAAAGCACTATGTATATATACTATCACAGCGTTGAAAGCATTGAAGACAGAAGAATGTATTTTGACCTATTTCGACCACCCTGTATACAGTGCCACAGAGTTAACAGCATCAAACACGAGAAAAAAATTATCGAGCGAAAAGGTGAGCGACCAAAATTAATTTTGGTCTATTTTGACCACCCTGTATGCAGTATCATAGAATCAACCGCATCAAACACGAAAAAAAAAAGTTCTCAAGCAAAAAGCACTATGTATATATACTATCACAGCGTTGAAAGCATTGAAGACAGAAAAATGTATTTTGACCTATTTCGACCACCCTGTATTCAGTGCCACAGAGTTAACCGCATCGAACACGAAAATAAAAGTTCTCAAGCGAAAAGCACCCTGTAGATACTGTCACAGAGTTAAAATCATTGAACACAAAAAAAGGTATTTTGACCTATTTTGACCACACTGTATATAGTGTCACAGAGTTGACCGCATCAAAAAAAAAAGAGTTCTCAAGCGAAAAGGTGAGAGACCAAAATTCATTTTGGTATATTTTGACCACCCTGAATGCAGTGTCACAGAGTCAACCTCATCAAACACAAAAAGTTTTCGAGCATCAACAAAGTTTCGTAAGGAAAAAAATACTTACTTTGAATTATTGTTGAACCACCCTGTATGCAGTGTCACAGAGTCAACCTCATCAAACACAAAAAGTTTTCGAGCATCAATAAACTATTCGTAACGAAAAAAAGACTCACTTCGAATTATTGTTGAACCACCCTGTATGCGCAGTGTCACAGAGTCAACAAAAAGTTATAGACCATCAATAAACTATTCGTAACGAAAAATGAAGGCTTACTCTGATCTATTGTTGAACACACCCTGTATACAGTTTCACAATATCAACCTTGATTATATACACTAGTGTGAATACTCAAAGGTATCAACCACATCAAACACGAAAAAAAGTTCTCAAACACCAAAAACCTATTCCTGACGAAAAATTATGACTTATTTTGATATATCTGTAATGAACCGGAGACTTCACCAAAATTAGTATTACCACAGTATATTATCCTTTCATGAATAATATACTGTGGTATTACTAGAATGAATGTAATTTGGAAGTAGAAGGTCGTTTTAGGGACACCCTGTATAGGGTAGAACCAATCATAATAATACTCGCTCTTAAAATGTCAAGTGCTCTGTACATTTCAAAGAGTTTATAAGTACATTATTCTATACTATTTTTTTAACTGACCATTTTTTTTAGATGGAAACCCACTGCTGGGACTAGGATACGACCCTGAGGTAGTCCCTTCAGGACACAGAATTCCCCCTGGTGGATTCTCCCACAAATTATGGTGATGAAAAAGATGAAACACGCGAAATGTCTAGTCTTTTTTGTATAATATAAAACAAATTATTTTTTCGGTCAACAAATTTTGTATTGGAATGGGAAAGAATGTAATAAAGCAAAAATCGAAAACATTGTACACTACTAAATTAGGCAGTATTTTTTTTTCATCACGAACATGCGGAGAAGTGACTTTCAACACTAAAATGAGTGCGAAAAAGTGGACTTTTCGCACGCTATAGTAGAAAAAATGGTTTTGTTCTTCAATTTACCTGGAACGTCTCCTAGTTTGGAAACAGATAACAAAACCAGCCAATGTTTCGCATGTCTATAATCCAAACTTCGACTTTTTCCTGACACCCTGTATTTTCTTCTGCGATCGTTAGGCTCGTAGACGATTTCATCATTTTGGGACATGACACGCGCGAAAATTAACCTTTTTAACCTCTGTCACTCAAGGAAACAGCAATTCCAGTAATTTCTGAGAACTTTGCACCAGCACCCACTAAGTAAGTATATTTAAATTGGTTTCTGACATAGTGAAAATTGAGAATATTGTTCGAGGAATACACATCACCGACCTTACTCCTTCTCACTATACAGGATGTCTCGAAATTAAGCGGGGAATACAACGGGAATGACTAAAACTTCTCGAAATTTTTTTGAAAAATTCAGCGACAGTTCACTTCGTCGGGAAAAAACGAACTGAGAACTAGGGAAACTGAAACTAGAACGATTATAACAGATTCAATATAATCTGCAACATGTGGATTGGCAATCATTCAAACATTAAAGATCTTGATTTGAAGGTTCATAACAATTTTAACATCTGTTTTGGCATGGCAAATTGAAAAAGCAGTTTAATTATACCGATTTAACTCAACTGACAAGACAAACAGAATGTGTACAATCTTGATAGAATAAATAATGTGTGGAACTATGATGTTTTGTTATTATACAGAGTGTTTCATAATAGGATGTTTCAGCTCGCCCAAAAATTTGAAGGAAAATTTTTATCAACTTATTCTCTAAAATGCACTATTTTCGAAATACAGGGTGTTGAAATTAAAAAAAAAACGTTTTTTTTTTTTAGTATCTCTGGAACCGTTTGTCTTTTCATGAGCATTTCCTACCCATAATAAGCTGTATGTTTTGTGCGGAATCCTTTTTCTTTTTAAGTCATAATTGGTAAAGATTTTGAAAGGGTAGTGGCTGTTTATCTCCCGAACTTCTACGCCACTGGAAAAAGTACAATTTTGAGCCACCCACTTGAACCGCCAATGTTTTCTACACAAAAAATGTACTCTCGGGCATAAGCTCTAAAATTTATCGTTTTCGAGAAATACCTCTTTTATGTTGAGAAACATGGTCAATTTTTTGAAATAAATTGTATGTTACTATAATTAAACAAAATTCATTTGACCCATAGAACAAGTAACAAAACCAAACGTTAACTTCATATCTATGACTTCATAAATGCAAAATTCAAAAAAAAAACAATAACAGCTCATACCTACCTTCAATCGGCTTCACAGAGCAAAAAAAATGGTAATTTATTTGCACTTATCATGTGATCGGTTTTTTTTGAAAAATGTTTTTGTAACCTACGTATTTTTGTCTGAAAAACACGAATTCGATGATGAGAATGTGAACAAACCACTATTTATCGAGATATTTCAAGAAAAAGTTCGAAATTTCACCTTCTTTTTCCCCTTGTTTTGGAAGCATTTATAGCTATTTGATCTTCTTATTTTGTCATTGAACACTTTATATACCTATGATGTACTTCAATGACACATTTTTGAACAGAAAATTCAACAGGAAATATTGTTTTTATGGCAAGTTTTTCATATTTAGTAAACAATCATACCAGATGACGGCCATTGTCGAAAAATAGTCAGTCTTTTGGGGAAATTTTGATTTTGTCATGTAGATAATAGGTATACCTATGTAATCTCTTTTCTTCCTATCCCAGACACGAAAAAGATTTCAGAATTCAGAAACATAATTGGAATAGGGATCACCTTTCAAGGGATCCAAAAGATAAAAAACTATAAAATTGACCCAGTTGGCTCTGATATTAGCAAAATGTACAATGTAGTCTCCTTTTAGGCTTAAAAATTGTGAATTTACTTCAAATGGTTCGTCAAGTATTCAATATACAGGAAACATTGAAAGAAAAGGGCATAGTTATAGGTACCTTGGACATATTTTCCTGATTTTGGAGTGGATGACATTCTCATTTACTCCCTCGTTTACTCCATTAAAACGGTTTGACTTCAGTTCTGTGCCGAATTACATAGTTGCTAGGTCGCACTTTCACTGGGCTTTCCCTCAAAACCAAGGCAGTACTCTCCATTTTTCCATTTCCATTGAAAAATGTGGAAAAGTTCAGGAGGAAAAGTAAAACAGAAAACTGAGATGTGCTGCCATCTTAAATTATTATAACAAGATAACAGAAAACAGAACAGATGAAGATCGATTCAAAGTGGAATTTAGCACGTTGCCAAATGTTCAAATTCCAGTAGCAATATTATTCGTATATCCCATATTCCTCATTCATTTTTTGAATGAGACCAACGAAATACGGAGGTGACCACAGTGACGAAAGTTAAGTCTATTTCCAGGTCCAGGGCATTAGTTGAAATATTTTGAATGAAGCCAGCAAAAAATTAACGAACGGTTATCTTGGAAACAGGATCATGTTTGTCACGTACGCTCCCTCGTTGAGATTCGTTGACCTCAGAATTTGTTGTAGTGTATAGTATTTGTACCCAATTCTATCCTAATAATCTTATCTTGATTTTCGAGTCAAGTGCGATCCACATTTTTTTATTCCAATTTATTGTCATGGCTTTGTTCGATTGATAGATTTGGTCATTACCCGCCCAAATATTTATTTTTTGAATAAGCTATTCTATCCGTTTGCGTATTCAATGAATAATTATCAGGTGAATGTGAAAAATATTACTCACCAGTGAACCATGTCGTACGCATGTTAAAATGGGAACAATAACTATGTTTTCAGCAAATAACAGAATATTCACATATTTTTGTACACTTGGCATTCTTGCAAAGCACCAAACGTCAATGAGTCATGAGTCATTGATGAATTTGACATTTTGACAGTAAACGTCAAAACAAAATCGAAGATAGAAGGAAGAATTTTCACTTTTCCGAGTTTTCTGCACAACTCACAACATCGGAATCAACAATGCGGATAAAAAAGGTATGCGCTTATCAGTTGCAATAACTCTTATCATTTACTATCTATATTTTATAGATGCTGATTGCTGAAATGAGACAGTAATGATAAAGTGATAAGTTGAAGTGAAAAAATACCATCAAGAGTTACGATGGGCAACGCAGGTCTCAAGCAACACATTGAAACTGCTCAAAAAACGGGAGTACTGAAAGTCTCCCAAGGGAAACTGAACGAATTTCCCCCTGGGTTCAAGCAATTGGAGTCTTGCCTTCGAACCCTGGACATATCTGATAACAAATTTGTTGTCTTGCCCAATGAAATAAGCAGGTTCATGCAACTTAAGCATCTAAACATAAGCAAGAACCGCCTGTCAAAAATACCGGACTGCATTGGAGCCCTAACAAAACTGGAAACCTTCAATGCTAGCCACAACAACCTCTTAGGCCTACCAAGAACCATTTCCAATCTCATCCACTTGAAGCAAGTGAACCTTAGTGACAACCATATCAAAGACTTTCCACTGAGTTTCTGTGGGCTAAAATATCTGGATGTTCTGGATTTGAGCAAAAATGAGATCACTGCAGTGCCAGCAGAGGTGTCTGGTCTCAACATAACTGAGCTCAACTTGAACCAGAATCAGATTGCTCAAATATCAGGACAAATTGCAGATTGTCCCAGGTTGAAAACTTTGAGGTTAGAGGAGAACTGTTTGCAGCTGGCTGCTATACCTACTAGGATATTGGCAGATTCCAATATTTCAAATATTTCTCTGGATGGGAATCTTTTTGAGGCTAAACAGCTGTCAGATTTGGAAGGGTATGAGGCTTACATGGAGAGATTCACAGCTGTGAAAAAAAAATTGTTTTGAATTTTTCTTGATTTTCAAAGGTTTTTCAGCTAAATTGAATTTGGTGAAAGGAAGAATGTAGTGATTTGTTGGATTGTTGAATGAAAGAGAATGCTGAGAGAAATTTTCCTCAAAGGTAACTCAGGTAATCTCTATTCTTGTGTTGCTACCTTAGTTGTGAAATTTTATTCACTATATAAAGTTGATTATATTTCTATTCTAATTTTTGAGATTAAGATTCATATCTGAATGTTTCTGATAATCTCATTCAGTGTGCAAGATGACCTGAAAAATATATTGCCCCATTATGTACCTACCTTTCAGTTATTTTGAAATTAAAACTTAGTTTTAATGCATTAGGGTAACATTTTTCAATAAACAGATAAAAATATTTCAATATCATGTTGTATACGTTTTTATTTTAGATAAATTAGGTAAGGGGTGATTGTGATAGATCTACAAAAATTAAACTGTCTGATTAAGTAAACTGAGATTCAAAATTTTCCAGAGAAATAATCAAAATAACTTATCATACAATCATCTGGAAATGATTTAAAGTGTGTGTAACTAGCATTGAAAAAAATATTATTTGCATCAGTGTTTCAAGGCTTGACAATCAATGATCTATAGACTCTAGATAAATATTTATTGTGATTTTTTTAGTATAAACAGTAGAAATGGTGCAATGCATATGCACTTAGTAATTGATGTGATGTTATCTTATGTGGGTCCAACTCTCATTACCAAAGAACTGGTAACTGAATTTCTGTTATGCCCAATTTTCCTGTCAATAAAAAAAATGCTTTGTGATTATAAGATTTAAAGTACTTTCTACTACTGTATTTTCTATATATGTATTGTACTCTTCTCTTCGATTTTGTCGAGATTTTTGTTCATATGCTGCACATTCCTTATTGTACATCAGACTAAAGTTTTATAAATAATAAGAAAAAAGTATAAACCATAAGGTATTTTCCAATTGTGGTTATGAAATACAACTGCAATGAATCAATAACAACAATAATATATAATATGGAGATTTTTATTTCTGTTCAACCCATCCAAAAATCCCAAATTAATGAATATTATTCAAAAAAATCATTAGTACCCAATCTTGATAGGGTAAAAATGAACACTATGTAGAATGTCAGAGACATCTATGTGTAGGAAACGTAAGTAAGCATTTTCTACAAATATGAGAAGAAGAATTTTCTTTCTGGAAGTATACAGTTAAGGTGAGTTCCCATGCACCTTTTTTGCTTTTCGCGTCACGCACTATGATTGGTGACGCGTAAAAGAGAATTGTTCACTGGAATTGTTGCACTGTTTTTTATTATTTACTTCAGTTCCCAATGAAATTACCTATCCTTGTCGAAGTGGGCGAAGTTTCCATTCAAAAATCATGAGAATATCTGAGCATACTGAAAATAATGATGGAAGTACGATATGGTGCGCGCATTCGGCCATTACTACGTATTGAAAATTTCAGAAAAATCACTCGACCGCCTACTATGATTTCTCTACGTTACAACGAGCGAGACATTGATTCTACATTTTCCCGCTAGATGGTGATGCTGCTATTTCTGCTGTGACGAGTGAAATTAAAATGGCAAATGGCATTTCAGGTACGCGGAACATATGAAACAGTGGGATTATTCCTGAATTCGAAAAATCTGCGACAATTTCAAAACTGACAGATATCATAATTGTGCCAATGTCGCCATCTATTAGAAGATCGACGGAACCATTGCTCTCACTGTTCTCGAGAGGTCGAGTAAAATTTCTGAAACAAAAGCGCATCAGTGATTACACCATATCTTACTTCGCTGTTCAAATAAGTAATTCATCAAAAAACGAAAAAAGCATAGTGAAAATGAGATAATCAGGTAGGTACCTACTTCAGGGATACTGCAATGATTTACTTATCATGAGATCACTTTCTGAAATGAGGGTTTAATGAAGTTGCATTCAAAATTTCTACATTTTCATAAAAAATCTTGTGTTGTGTCAGCTTGCATGACGCGTAAAGCGAAAACGCTGCATTGGGAACTCACCTTAAGAAGAAGATAAGACGTAAATCATATGTCATATTTTCGCGCCGAAAATATGATTACGAAGCCTACTAAGGTTATGTTTACCTAAATTTGTTATTTTACGTGTTGCCTGTGTTCTGTTGAATAGTTTAGTTTTCTTGTTTTATAATTTTCAAGTGCCAGTTAAAACTACTCTCCATCAACGATGGATATCGCAGATGTAGACCGTGCCCGAGACATGCACAGAGAATACCTAGATTTCCTTGATGATGAAGTAACAACTCATTCAATGATGTTTGCAAAATGCTCTTTCACACTCGATTTTTCCAGGCTGATCAAGGAAAGTACTCCCAATTGGTTAAAAACATGATCGCCGATAAGTCCCACAGATTGATAGTGAACATCAATGACTTGAGAAGGAAGAACCCTAACAGAGCCAAACAGCTTCTCACCAAAGCTTTTGAGGAGCAAAAAGCCTTCCAAACGGCCCTCAAAGAATACGTTATGACCGTGTCCTCGGACTTTGCCAAAGACAGTGAAGAGTTTTTTGTTGCCTTTGAGGGAAGTTTTGGAAACAAACATGTTACCCCACGTAGTTTAACTTCTAGGTATCTTGGCAATTTGATTTGTGTTGAAGGTATAGTTACAAAATGTAAGTTGGCTTTGATTCTTGTGAGGTTATTTTTTTCTAGCAGTTGTTTTGTAGGTTCTCTAGTTAATCCCAAAGTAGTACGTAGTGTGCATTATTGTCCTACTACTAAAAAAGTAATGGAAAGGAAATACACAGATGTTACTTCCTTTGAGGCTGTGCCTTCTTCTGCAGTGTATCCAACTCAGGTGTGAAATTAAAGTTTTCTTGCCTACAAAACTGTATATTTGATTTTCTTCAATTTTAGGATGATGATGGCAATCCATTGGAAACTGAATTTGGTTTGTCCATGTACAAAGACCATCAAACTATTTCTATACAGGAGATGCCAGAAAAAGCTCCTGCTGGACAATTACCTAGATCAGTGGATATCATTTGTGATAATGATTTGGTGGATTGCTGCAAACCTGGTGATAGAATACAGGTGGTTGGGAATTTTAGGTGTCTACCCAATAAACAGGGTGGTTATACTAATGGCACATTCAGGTAAGTGTGAATAAATCACATCAACTACTGAAAATGGTTTTTTTTTTGAAAACCTGTTACCTGATTATTCAAATCTATTTTCAAAGTGTCTTCATTATATTAAATGTATCCTTCCTTTCCTAGGTTGCCCCAGTTTATTGGTATTTGTATAGACTGAAATGATATGATTGAAAAAACACTTTTTTTATTGTGACTTCCTCAGAAAAAAATTTGAACACCCATGTAGTCATGATTTTGACTTGAATTTCAGACTCCTTCAGAAAATTGGGTACACTCCTGGGAGTCCTGATTTTCAGTTTTTTTTTCCAGCAAAAAAATTGTGTACGCCCCTGTGGTGGAATAAAATATTGGAAATTTGAATTTTATTTCAGATACTCTGAAAAAGAATGGTATGCCTCTGAAGAGGAAGAATTAAAATTATAAAATTGGGCTTTAGCATCAGATATTAGACAAAATGAGAGAAATCTTGAAAATCACATATTGTTGTTTTTGATACATCCCCTGAAAACAATCTTTGTACTCTCCTGTTAGAGGTTGAAGTTGAAAATTCAGCTTTTATCTTCCACCCCCCCCACAGTAAATGAAGGTTACACCTCTTGAGTCTTGATTTTTATGTATTTTCGGCAGTGAAGAAATATAGAAATACCGATTTTCTATTATTTTTGAACCCTAAAATGATGTCTACACCTTTGAAAAAATTATGTGAGCTCCTGAAGTAGAAAAAAGTTTTAAATTTTGATCTTTCATTTTTGACCTCTCCCGTAACATATTTTTAGTTTTGACCCCTCTAAAAAATGTTGATACACCCTTGAAGTAGAGGAATTTTTCAAAATTCCACTGTTGCTGCAAACCCTTTGAAAGATAAATTGGTGAAATAATTGAAAGAAAGCAGTGATACAAAGCTGAATATTTCCATTATCCAGTTGAAGGTGGTAAAATCATCTGAAATGTTAACATTTACGGAAAATTGTGTTTATTCCTTATGGTAACCATAGAAGCGCCTGATTGTTACAATTTCCATTTCTATTCGGATACATCAAGAAGGCGACTTTCTGCCCATTAACGGAAAATATTGGATAAAATACTTATTATCCATTTAAATGACGCGGCGTATGTTTGGTTGCCTATTCGCGAGAATCAATGTTACCAGGTGTCGATTCTACTAAATATACTGCACGCTAGCACAAACCACGCCCACCATAATACGTCATATCATATCTCCAAACATTACCGATATACTCGGAGTCAGCACATCGCACTAAATATACTGTGCTCCAACGCAAGAATACACTTTTTATGATTTTGACACGAATTCGACTGAAGCTCTCTCGTTGTCAATCTCTTGTACGCAGTAAATTCATATACCCAAATGGTCTACTGGTTAGCCCTGTCGACTTTCAGTCTGAAGGTCCATGGTTCGAATCGCTGTGAACTTGAACTTTTTTTGCAACTTTTTTTTTCACCAATGTTTTTTTACTTCATTCTGGTTTTCCTTTTTCATAAAATATTTGAAGTCAAATAGGTTAGTGCGTTTAGGATAAACAGTCTCATTTTATTCAATTTTGTTGAAGAACACAACTTTTGAATAATATTATTAATCAATGTGTTTCTACACTCCATTCGGTTTTCCTTCCTCAAAAATATTGCAATCAGGGATAGGTTAGTTCGTTAAGGATAAATAGTCTCTGATTTTTGTCTAAGTACCTACTTTGAAGATGAGATATTCTGGTGGGCGTGGTTTGTGCTAGCGTACAGTATATTTAGTAAAATCGCTACCAGGTGGCGCTCGGTTTTCATCATGTCAAAACTGGGGGAAAACAAACTCAATCCTCACTCATTCCCATTAGTGCCATTAGCTTGTGTACTGTGTACTGATAAGAGTGATAACACTTTATGTCATTGACAAGTTTGACAACTACAGCTACAGCAATATGTATGCAATGTAGTCTATGCACTTTATCCATAGACAACTGCAGTTTGTTTTCCCCCAGTTTGAAGTTCGTATTATGTCGCCCACTTCGTGAATCTCGCGAGTACCACAATTGTTCGTGTATAACCTCAAAAACCAACATTTACACTAGAAACTTGAAAGTTGTCCAACTTGATAGTTCAAGTTTAGTTTTAATTTCTCTGCATATAATTAATCATGTCTAACAAGAGGTTCAACTTCTTAGTTAGAGTTTTAGTGTGGATGTAACTTGGAGTTGAGTGTGAATTTGTGGTGCATAAATCCGCCTCAACAAGATGATCCACCCTTATTAGAGCAATAAAGCCATAACCTCTGTTGAGTAGATGGTGATATACAGGGTGAGTCATAACTATTGGGACATAGGCTAAAGGCGGATTGTTAGGACCAAAATAAGTCGATTGGACCAAATATGCCTTAATAAAATATTGCTGTGGAAAGAGATACAGGGCGTTAAAGTTGTTTTTTTTTTCGTTTTTTGTCGGTTTTTTGCTAATAATTTCACTGTATTGGAATGTATTTGAAGAAGTTTTGTGATTTGGTTGCTTTCTGTCTAGATATCAGATATATTACAATTCGTACCTTCTGGTTGCATCCCGCATTTATCCATTCATAAAATGATTGTGACGGGGGCATTTCGATCGGAAAAATTTTGACTATAAACTCGCATCAAAATTCATTCTCTGACAAGAAATGTCATTACCAGCAACATTATCTGACAGTTCAAAGCACACTCTTCATGAATGAAATAATATTTGTAATTAACTTCTGAGACTCTGAACTGTTCAATAGCGTTTTTCTCGAAAACGGATGAAAATATCGTGTTCAAACAAGAGTACCAATATTACGTAGAAATGATGTTTAGGTCATATTTTTCAATCAAAATCACTCAAAAGTTTCGTCAAAAAAAGTAACCAGGCGATTTCATCATCAAGAATCATTCACGTGGCGCCCCCTGTATCAAAAAGTAGAATAGTTCATAGAATAATATTCCCTGTATGAAATTATGCCTCTGTGCCAATTTTGATAACAATTGATGAATATACAGTGAAATTATTGGCAAAAAACGAAAATAAAAAGTCAACTTCAACGCCCTGTATCTTTTTCCACAGCAATATTCTATAGAGGCATATTTAGTCCTATCGCCATATTTTGGTCCAAACAATCCGCCCTTATCGTATGTCCCAATAGTTATGACTCACCCTGTATATGAGCTACAAGGTGGACTGCTTTTTGTTGAGTATAGCCAAGGGTAGAGATCGGCAATGAAGGATATAGTAGAAGTTAACTGTTTAGATTTTTTTTGCAAGAAGGAATAACACATCAGGGCCGGATTGAAATATTTTCATTATTAAAAAGTCAGGACATCAAATTTGGTGATTTTCCTGCTCCAGAAAGAAGGGTATTCGTAGGTAATTCAACAACTCTTGCACATAGATGGACTGGGAGCCAATAATTAAGTCGGAATCTGGATTTAATATTCTACATGGAGGTGGTTAATTTTATTAATATAAATAATAGAGGTTAATAAACGAATTGATCGTTAATAGTAGTAATTAGCGATCAGTTTCGTGTAGATCGCGTGTACGATGACCGACCCTGGATTTGAAATATTGAAACACAACCTCACTCTTTTTATTTGTTTACAGAGGATTCAAAGGATTGAAATAGTTTTCCACAATATTTTGGCATACGAATCGTGTTTTTTGCGCTATTCATTAATTTAAGCATGCCTTCTCAATGTGCTATTGTACAATACACAAAAAATGCAGCGAGAGACGAAGGAATATGATTTTTCAGGTAGATAGTAATCTCACATAGTTTTCATTATGAAATGTTGTCATTCCTTATTAAAATTCCTTCTGCCACTTCTGCAATAGAAGCTAATACTGCTAATAGATTGAAAATATCTACAACACACACGATTATGTTTCTTCAGCATGTCAGGCAAGTCCCCCGTTCGATTGCATGAATCCAATCTTGCATTCTTCTAGAAATTTCACGAGTATTTCTATTAGCTCCTATTGCAGAAGGAATTCCGATGAGAAATCAGAGAAATTACTATATGTAAGTGACTATAGTAAGTAGTTACTTTCAAATCAATCACAACACCACCTTCAATGAGCCCAACACCTCACAACCTTGACACTTGGCTGACTGTAATATACTGACTAATTACTAATCTCCTATCTTCAACCGTTCTGCATTCCGTGATTCATCATACTCGTAATCACCAACCGCCGTCCGCTTGTGTTATATACTGTGTGTATAACATAATGTACCAACCGGATTCCTTCGTCTCTCACTTCATTTTTTGTTCATTGTACAACAGCACAATGTGATGGCATGCGCGAGTTAATAAATAGCCGAAAAACACGATTCGTATGCCAAAATGATTGTGAAAAACTATTTTAATCATTTGTAAAAAAATAAACGAATGAAAAATAACAGAATACTCACTTTACCATGTATAAACGTCCACAGCTTGATTACTTATATAAAAATGCATCAAGCTTCAGTTGTAACTATATAATAGTGAACAACACAAATATCCTACGAGAAATGGAAAGCTACTGAAAATGATCAAGCACAAAACGAAACTTTTCGGAAAGTCACCCATCCCAGCGAGCACAAAAACATCTCAGAGATGTTAAAAGTACGAGCTTTCGAGACATTGAACCTCCACTGCGATGTTCTGTTCACACATGAATAGAACTATTATAGAACAGCCAATGTCCGCCGCAGGCGGCAATTATCGAGATGTCCTTGATATGTCACAAAACTACCTTCTCCCTAGTTCTTCTTAAAGCCTTTTCATGGACACAACTAAACATTTTCAACGCGTCTTGCGCACATTAAATCGCTGTAAAAAACCATTTTCGAGGTACTTTTCTGAAGCCTATTGTCAAAATGAACTTTTGCATTAGGATTCCATTTCCCTTGAATGAAAAAATGCATTAAAAATAGATTGAACATAAAAATATTTTCTTGATATGAAATTACCTTCTTAATCGGTTTCTGAGTAGTGCTTACTACACACAGACATATAATTGGAAATAGGTTTCCCAATTTTTGAAATGTTCTCTACAATGCATAATTTTGCAACTGCGGAGAAGCTGTGTATTGATAAATTCGTACTTTTATATATTGATTACACTGAGGCACCGAACAACACATCTTGCATCTGATGGTCATCATTACAAACTAAATAAGTCTTCTAACACAATAAACTTCACCAAATTCCTTTCTTTTCGTTAGCAGCGTGATTTAAGCGTGACACGCTGCAAACGCGAATGCCAATTGCGAACAAGAAGAACAAAATCGAAAACAAATCAGAATTCATCGTATTGTGACGTAAGCATGAGACGTTGTGGTGGGGCAAACGAAGAAAGGGCACAAAAGAACAAAAACAATACTATCAATATCCTTCTAAGACTTCTTTGGGAAGTGCATATTACGCCTCAAAAAAACATCCTCATGCCTACATTTCTAAAACATCCCTCCCAGGGATACCTCTCAGTAGGCAAACAAAGAAATGCCACAGAAGAACAAAAACAATACTTCAATATCCTTCAAAGACCTCTTTGGTCAGCCCATTGACATCAAGTCGCTGCCATATGCGAATAAAGTGAAACAGAAAACGAAAGAATTTCTCAGCAGTCAAGGTTTCTACTCGTGTGACGACTTCATCAACTTCAAACCATGTACACAATCCTCAGATATATAATTTGATTCAATGTATTCCTAGTATTATATATTTATATGTATATTTTCATTTCAGTTTAGTAATGTAAATGTCTGTACTCATCTGTTATACATACTTTGTTTTGTAATATTCATGAATGTCGATCTATATTTACCACTATACATGTAATCATTTCGTAAATATGATTTTATAATGGTATTTCGAATGATTAAACTATTTTATTCTATTCTAAGAAAAGTGAGGTTGTGTTTCAATGTTTCACCTCCAGGGTCGGTCATCTGACAGTTCTTGCACGCAATCCATACGAAGAAGAAATTCGTTATTTGTCATGGTAACAATTCAAAATAAAAGCACCCGATTGGTCAGAAAACAAAAGTGTCTTATTTCCACTACCAGGACTGTCGTGATCGCCAACAATATCTCGCAGTTGAGCAAGGAAGCGAGTCCCCGTATTTCCAGAGAGGACGTGCAACGTTGCAAACAACTAGCCAGGTCCAACAAGAGCATTTTCAACCTTCTGGCCAAGTCTCTGGCTCCTTCTATCCATGGCCATGAGTACATCAAGAAGGCCATTTTGTGTCTTCTGCTGGGAGGTATGGAGAAAGTGCTGCCGAACGGGACTCGGCTCAGGGGGGACATCAACATTTTGCTTATCGGGGATCCCAGTGTTGCCAAGTCGCAGTTGCTCAGGTAAATCACTCGAAAATCTGATTATTTAATTTTTGGCCACCTTGAAATGAATGGTGTATGCTTCTGAAGCGTGGAAGAACATTTTGAAATTCCGCTTTTATTTTTGAAGGAGAGGGATTTTTTCAACAGAATGTCATGAGGAACTGTACAGGGTATCCCAATTTGGGCACTTTTGCGGGGTATCTTCCTTATCAGTAAAGCATTGCGGTTTTCGCGACAGTGTGCTACTTTTTAGGAAATTAATAATGGCGCAAGCAGAATTGTGATAGCTCTTCCGGTTGTCGAGATACAGGGTGGAATTGAAAAATATCATTTTTATTCAGGCACCCCCCGTGTCTCAGTTATCTTTGAACTTATCGAAGAAGAAGAAGAAGAATTATTATTCGACCTAGTGTATTTTAAATGTACAATGCTTTTTTTTGTTCCCTATTATAAACATGTACATTTTTTCTTGGGAATAATACAGATGATGATGATGATGATGGTTTAGTGAATATGAATATCACTATACCACAAATTTGTTTTCTACTGACAGCTTTATATCACGCCATTCTCGAAGGATGAGGCATTTTTTCAAGAGGTAGAATTCATTGGAATATGCAGATCTGCCGAATATCGTCTTAGAAAACATTTTCTGATGGTCATTAGATATTTCCCCAAGGACATTTATTAGTGTTAGGAGTATGTACAGTTCCTAATGACTCACCCTGTATTTGGCGATTTATTGTAATTTGGAATCAGTGGACACTTTTTTGTCCAGGTACGTGTTGTGTACTGCTCCAAGAGCTATCCCCACCACTGGCAGAGGCTCTTCGGGGGTAGGTTTGACAGCCGCTGTCACTACAGATCAAGAAACCGGTGAAAGGAGATTGGAAGCTGGCGCTATGGTCCTAGCCGACAGAGGTAATGAAAAAAAATTGGCACAAGGTTTTACATTTTCGGTAAAACTGCATTTATCATGCGATGGGTTTTTTTTCGAAAAATTTTTTTGGTACTTACGTATTTTTGTCTGAAAAACACGAATTTGATAATGAAAATGTGATCAAACCATTATTTATCAAGATATTTCAATATAAAAATACAAATTTCACCTTCTTTTCGGCCTATATTCTGGATCGCATTTAGAACAAGTGGCCCTTCTTTTTTCACCATTGGACAATTTATATATATTACAATGTACGACACATTTTTTTTCTATAATATGAGTAAACTAGAAACATGATTTGCTTGTGATTTATCCATATTCAGTGAAAAGAAGAAAGAATGTCATTTAAAATAATGGCATGTGTAATGTCATTCAAAAGCAATCTGTTGACATTTGACATCTCGTATATGGATTGACTATCGATTGAATGGCCGTCATCTGGTATGCTTGTTCGCTAAATATGAAAAACTCGCAATAAAAATCATATTACCTGTTGAATTTTCTATATGAAAATGTGTCATTGAAGTACATCATGAGTATATAAAGTCTCCAATGATAAAATAAAAAGATCATTTTACCTGTAAATGCATCCAACACGAGGGGAAAAAGAAGGCGAAATTTCGATTTTTTTTTTGAAATTTTTCGATAAATAGTGGTTTGTTCACATTTTCATTATCATATTCGTTGTTTTCAGACAAAAATACGTAGGTATCAAAACAAATTTTCGAAAAAAAAAAACCATCCCATGATAAACGCAGTTTTACCAACTCGTATTTTTCAGACAAAAATACGTAAGTACCAAAAAAAAATTTCGAAAAAAAACTCATCGCATGATAAATGCTGTTTCACCATGCAATATTCATTGGATACCAATGTGAAATAATAACGAAATTTCATTAATTATACAGAGAAGTGCACAAAAAACGGCTAAAACTGTAACTTTTGAATTATTCGAGATAGGGTTTTGAAAATTGGTAGGTAGCTAGTATATCAAATTGCTCATAAATTGACAAAACAATTTTTGTTCTATTACTTCCGGTTTTACTGGAAACGACCCCAACTTTCTATTTTTAAATGGGACACCCTGTATTGTATTCCATAATCGGTTAGGGATTGTCATAACGATTTCATCGATACCGGGTTTGATAGGGTTATTTCAAACGATTACACAGATATTCGCGTTCTAAGTTTCCATATGCTCAATGAGTGTGACAGAGAAAGAAGTTTTGATGTTGCGAAGTCACACCTATTGCGCATATGGAAACTTCGAACGCAAATATCTTTGTAATTGTTTGAAATAACCCTATCAAACCCGGTATCGTTGAATTCGTCATGATAATCCCTAACCGATTATGGAATACAATACAGGGTGTCCCATTTGAAAATCAAAAGTTGGGGTCGTTTCCGGTGAAACTGAAAGTGGTGGAGGAAAAATTGTTTCATTTATTAATGAACGATTTGGTATACTAGTTGCCTACCAATTTTCAGAACCCTATCTAGAATAATTCAAAAGTTACAATCCTAGCCGTTTTTTGTGCACTTCTCTGTATAGTAATTTAAAATATAGAAATAAATAAGCAGCCCCTACCTTTCTGCTTGGTTTGCATGTCGAAAAAGTGTTAAACAGTTATGTATTTTTTCTGTGATGGAAAAAAATGTTGGAATTTCATCTCTGTTGGCAGGTTATAAAATGTCACTTCATAAATTACTTTTTTCCCGTGGGAAAAAAGTGAGTACTTTTTTCCCGGCTATATATCACATATATATATACACTGTTGATGGCTTTTGTTGTGCTATAGTTCCGAAAAATGAGTCAATAATACCCGAGAAAGAACTGCAAGTCCTTTTATCTTCCATTCGACTTCGCGGTTACGTATATTACTAAACAACCATTAAATTCGCAATTCTTTGAAATCAAATCACAGAATAAGACTGACAGAAGTGACATCAGATATTTGATTACTTCAAAAGAATGATGCAGATGCCTACAACGCAGGTGTCCCTACTGTTAAACACTTAAAATTTCACGTCGACAATTTTCAGATTTCAAAATAATGTAACATTTTCTCAATATTGACTCGTCCTTTCTTCTGTCACAGAAAAAAATAGTGTATTATACACGGGAAACATATTAGATTTTAGCTCACGGTTTTTTGTCTCCCTCTGCCACGCGTCGGGAGACAACACAACCTGGAGCTAAAATCTACTACTTTTTTCCCTTGTATAATAAATAACTATTTCATCACAGCACTCATGAGTTTCCGAGGTTTCCGCAGTTCCTACTTAAATTCAAGTTGCATCATAAATCATTCAAATACAGCATTGCCCAAACATCTATCTGCTTCCATTCAAGTATAGGTAGATGATTTTCATACTTGATAAAATATTTCGTGATAATGTTTCATCCTCGGGTTTCAACATGACAGATTTTTATTTATAAACTTGACAGGAACATGAAAAATTCTTCTAGTCGTCATTGCATGCGACAGTTGATTAGGACTTTTGTTTGTTTAATCCATGGAAGAGGCGAGATATGCTTTTTATTGTGTTTCCTAGGCGTGGTTTGCATCGATGAATTCGACAAGATGAGTGACATTGACAGAACGGCTATACACGAGGTCATGGAACAAGGAAGAGTGACCATCGCGAAAGCTGGCATACACGCGAGCTTGAATGCCAGGTGTTCTGTACTGGCGGCAGCCAATCCTGTCTACGGAAAGGTCAGTTTTTTTTCTATGACTCCTTGATCTTCTTCACATACGTTTTGAATTTTCAGTATGATCAGTACAAAACGCCTATGGAAAATATAGGTCTTCAAGATTCGCTTTTGTCTCGTTTCGACTGTCTTTTCGTCATGCTAGACGCCATAGACGAGGACAACGATCTGAAGATAGCGGATCACGTGGTTAGGATGCACCGGTACAGGTAAATATTGAAAAAACGTAAATTCTGATCTTCATATCTCTTCAAATATCGGCAAACAATCAATTTTTCACACAGGAATCGTTCTATACAACTCATTACCAAGTCAATTGAGGAATATACAGGAAGCAACTAGATTCAAAATTAACTTAAAAAAATATCTGCTTCAGAGACTTTGATAATCCCATTTCTTATTTGAATACCTATTTATAAAAGACTAGGTTGATATTGCATGATTATTTGCATTTTTTTTTTTTTTTTTTAACTTGTTATATCTTATTATAATTTCATAATTGTATGTATAACATTATGTATATTGTTTATGTATCCCTATTATAAACAACTATGTTTCTTGGGGTAATAAAGACAATCAAAATAAGCCTGACATTTCACAAATCGGTTGACGCGGAGAAAACTTATGACTGCAAAACCAAAAAGTCAATTTTTGAGATCACTCTATAAATAGCAGAGATAAGGAGACAATTCGAGAACTGTCCCAAGATGATGAGATCATCTACATGCCTCTACTGTCAAAGTTAAAAAAAAAAGTTTTTCATCATTTGGGATACTTTTGAAATTACCGAAATTTTGCACAGTTTCAGTTAACACCCTGTGGCGATTTTATGTGAAGAACCTTATGTTTTGCGAGACAATAGCTGAAGGACTGGGCTACCGAACAGTGTGATCTGAATTCAAATCGTTCAAAGCAGAGAAAAGTTATTCATATTTCAAAAGGGGCAAAATTTTGGGGTGCGACGAAATGAGTGCTGCGTACTTTATAGATGAAATCTATTGTTATTTAGTCTGGGCATTCACCCGCAAAATGTACATGTGTCTGTTATTATCCCCACCATTCGCTATTCCATTCATCTAACCGTGCTCGGCGTTTAGGATTGTTGGCGTATCCTATCTAGTGATTTATGAATAAATCTCGGTATCTTTCTATTGTTATTCAATCTGAGCACCCGCAAATGTACAAGTGTCTGTTATTATCCCCACCATTCGCGATTCCATTCATCTATCCGTATTTGTCGTTTAAGGATTGTTGGTGTACTTTCTAATGATACAGGAATGAATCGCGTGTCTATCAATTGTTACTTAGATAATCCTTTGCAGAAACCCTTTAGAACAAGACGGCGAAGTCCTGCCGATGGGCTCCAAGGTGGACATGTTGAGTACCGCCAATCCCGATGAAGATCTCGACGACAAAGTGACACCCGTCTACGAGAAATACGACAGCCTCTTACACGGCGCCAGCCGTAAAAAGACCGACAAGATACTCAGCGTCGAGTTCATGCGCAAGTACATCTACTTCGTCAAAATACTCAAGCCGAAACTGACCGAGGAGGCGTCGGAGATCATTTCCGACGAGTACTCGCGACTGCGCAGCGAGGATCTGCTGGAAAATGATGTGGCTCGGGTACGTTTTTCCTGAGAGAGAGCGAGAGAGAGAGAGAGATAGCGAGAGAGAGATAGCGAGAGAAAGATTGAGAGATAGCGAGAGAAAGATAGAGAGATAGCGAGAGAAAGATAGCGAGAGAAATATAGAGAGATAGCGAGAGAAAGATAGAGAGACAGAGAGAGAAAGATAGAGAGATAGCGAGAGATAGATAGAGTGATAGCGAGAGAGAGATAGCTAGAGAGAGAGATAGCGAGAGAGAGATTGCGAGAGAAAGATAGAGAGATAGCGAGAGAAAGATAGAGAGATAGCGAGAGAAAGATAGAGAGATAGCGAGAGAAAGAAAGAGTGATAGCGAGATAGAGAAAGATAGAGAGAGAGATATAGCGAGAGATAGCGAGAGAGAGATAGCTAGAGAGATATCGAGAGAGAGAGATAGCGAGAGAAATATAGAGAGATAGCGAGAGAAAGATAGAGAGATAGCGAGAGAGAGATAGCTAGAGAGATAAAGCGAGAGAGAGATAGCGAGAGAAAGATAGAGAGATAGCGAGAAAGATAGAGAGATAGCGAGAAAGATAGAGAGATAGCGAGAGAAGGAAAGAGAGATAGCGAGAAAGATAGAGAGATAGCGAGAGAAAGATAGAGAGATAGCGAGAGAAAGATAGAGAGACAGCGAGAGAAAGATAGAGAGATAGCGAGAGATAGATAGAGTGATAGCGAGAGAAAGATAGAGTGATAGCGAGTGAAAGATAGAGTGATAGCGAGAGAGAGAGATAGAGTGATAGCGAGAGAAAGATAGAGTGATAGCGAGAGAAGGATAGAGAGATAGCGAGAGAAAGATAGAGAGATAGCGAGAGATAGATAGAGTGATAGCGAGAGATAGATAGAGTGATAGCGAGAGAAAGATAGAGTGATAGCGAGAGAAAGATAGAGTGATAGCGAGAGAGAGATAGAGTGATAGCGAGAGAGAGATAGCGAGATAGCGAGAGAGAGATAGCGAGAAAGATAGAGAGATAGCGAGAAAGATAGAGAGATAGCGAGAAAGATAGAGAGATAGCGAGAAAGATAGAGAGATAGCGAGATAGCGAGAGAGAGAGAGAGAGAGAGAGAGAGAGAGAGAGAGAGAGAGAGAGAGAGAGAGAGAGAGAGAGAGAGAGAGAGAGAGAGAGAGAGAGAGAGAGAGAGAGAGAGAGAGAGAGAGTTCTATCCAAAATTGGAGATCTGGAGATTTTCGAGGTTATAAATTATGATTTTATCGTCAAAATGGAGAAATTAAAGATGGCGGATCGGTATTGTAATTATGATTTGATTCTATTCGAAATTTGTATCTAAGGGTTTTCGAGGCCGAAGATTATGATTCTTTCGGTAAAATTAGAAAGTAAAAGAGAGAGAGAGGGAGGGGGAATGGGAGAGGGAGAAAAGGGAGAGATAGAGAGAGAGAGAGAGAGAGGGAGACAAAGGGGGAGAGGGAGAGAGAGAGAGAGAGGCGAACGAATTCATTAATTATGATCCGATTCAACGATTGCCGGGTCACCTAGTATGTTCTATAATTTCAAATGTTTTCCAGACCCAACCCGTGACCCCTCGTACCCTGGAGACCCTCATCCGTTTAGCAACGGCCCACGCTAAGGCGCGCATGTCCAGAGAGGTGGAAGCTGAGGACGCCCACGTGGCCATCGAGCTGGTGCAGTACGCCTACTTCAAGAAGGTGCTCGAGAAGGAGAAGAAGAGGAGGAGAAGGGAGGAGGAGGAGGATTCGGCAGAGGAGGAGGGGGAACAGAGGCCGAAGCGGGCTAGAGCTGCGGTAAGAGGGGTAGAAAGTGTCGGCATTTTTGGTATTTCGGTACTATATTCACTATTTTCTAACACTGTTTAGTAGAGTTCCTGAATGTACTTGACACTGCTGATTTTGACAAGTACATTTGGGAACTCTACTTTCCATTACGTCTTTATCCTTGGAAAAACAGAAATATTCAATATTTGTGCCATTCGTATATTTGTTGGAATTTTCATAACCAGAAACAACACAAGTGGACATCAGAGATTCTCCTTAAACTAATATTATCTATACTTTCTCATTAAGGACACCAAAATACATGGATTTTGATTTTATTCCCTGTTTTTAGTGAAATTTTTTTGAATTGGCAACAGTGCTTGCCCACGCATCACACGTTGAAGTCTGCAAATCACGCGTAAAATATCCAACTTGGCAACATCTATAGGAGGCTAGACTCCTTCACAAGCTCATCCTACGCGCGCAATGCAAATTCCCGAATACGCGCGAATAGCACGTGTTTGTCGTGTCGTTTCGCGAATTGCGGACAAACGCGAGTGCATTGTTTATGTTAATGTTAGGTTAATGGTTAGGGGCTCTATGAATTTCTGAAAAATGAGTGTTTTAAACGATTGCGATTTAGTGGAATACTTTTTGGTGAACCCATTCAGTGTTTTGTCTTATGAAGATAAATTGATTGTGAAAAACAAACGTCCGAAACCGGAATTAAAAAATCTGATTGTAACAGGTAACAAACAAAATCTTTCGTTCAATTCTGATAATTATAAAAAATATATCTGGCTGACGGGATCTGAGGTAAGGAATAAGCTATTTTGTTGGTACTGCATATTATTTTCAACCGATAAGTCATCATGTTGGGGGCGATTAGGATATGTATAATGATTTGAAAAATTTGCCTCGCGGATTGGATAGACACTGCAAATCACAGGAACACATCCTTTCAAGTATTAAGTTCAGGTTAACTGGTAAACAGAATGTCATTAAAGCTATTGATTTGGGTAGGTAGAGAGTTGTTTTTCACAATAAATCTCATATCATTCCGCCTCCTCTGTCATGAAAGTCACGAGCCGCCTCTGGTGGACATTTTGAAAGCATATTTAAATCATTCACGAAAACAAATAATAACAATGACAGTTATATCCCAGTTGACGTCTTGCGCAGAACAAGACGAGTTCAAACTTTCTGTCGAGCACACCATCTTCTCCTTCCACTATAGTTGTTCTGTGAAAAAGACGTTGAATATGGCAATATAGAGGTCAGAGGCAGGCGATTCGGATTCTAACTTATTGAATTGGGACATCATTCACGAAAACAAATAATAACAATGACAGTTATATCCCATTTGACGTCTTGCGCAGAACAAGGCGAGTTCAAACTTTCTGTCGAGCACACCATCTTCTCCTTCCACTATAGTTGTTCTGTGAAAAATACGTAAAAATTGACGTTATATATGTCAAAGGCGGGCGATTCGGATTCGAACTTATTGAATTGGGACATCATTCACGAAAACAAATGATAACGATGACAGTTATATCCCAGTTGATGTCTTGCGCAGAACAAGATAAGTTCAAACTTCCTGTTTAGCACATCTTCTCCTTCCACTATGGTGTTCTGTGAGAAAGACGTTGAAATTGGCGTTATAGATGTCAAAGGCGGGCGATTCGGATTCTAACTTATTGAATTGGGACATCATTCACGAAAACAAATAATAACGATGACAGTTATATCCCAGTTGACGTCATGCGTAGAACAAGACGAGTTCAAACTTTCTGTCGAGCACACCATATTCTCCTTCCACTATAGTTGTTCTGTGAAAAAGACGTAAAAATTGACGTTATATATGTCAAAGGCGGGCGATTCGGATTCTAACTTATTGAATTGGGACATCATTCACGAAAACAAATAATAACGATGACAGTTATATCCCAGTTGACGTCATGCGTAGAACAAGACGAGTTCAAACTTTCTGTCAAGCACACCATCTTCTCCTTCCGCTATAGTTATTCTGTGAGAAAGACGTTGAAATTGGCGTTATAGATGTCAGAGGCAGGCGATTCGGATTCTAACTTATTGAATTGGGACATCATTCACGAAAACAAATAATAACAATGACAGTTATATCCCAGTTGTCGTCTTGCGCAGAACAAGACGAGTTTAAACTTTCTGTCGAGCACACCATCTTCTCCTTCCGCTATAGTTGTTCTGTGAGAAAGACGTTGAAATTGACGTTGTAGATGTCAAAAGCGGGCGATTCGGATTCTAACTTATTGAATTGGGACATCATTCACGAAAACAAATAATAACAATGACAGTTATATCCCAGTTGTCGTCTTGCGCAGAACAAGACGAGTTTAAACTTTCTGTCGAGCACACCATCTTCTCCTTCCGCTATAGTTGTTCTGTGAGAAAGACGTTGAAATTGACGTTGTAGATGTCAAAAGCGGGCGATTCGGATTCTAACTTATTGAATTGGGACATCATTCACGAAAACAAATAATAACAATGACAGTTATATCCCAGTTGACGTCATGCGCAGAACAAGACGAGTTTAAACTTTCTGTCGAGCACACCATCTTCTCCTTCCACTATGGTGTTCTGTGAAAAAGACGTTAAATATGGCGTTATAGAGGTCAGAGGCGGGCGATTCGGATTCTAACTTATTGAATTGGGACATCATTCACGAAAACAAATAATAACAATGACAGTTATATCCCAGCTGACGTCTTGTGCAGAACAAGACGAGTTCATTCTTCCTGTCGAGCACACCATCTTCTCCTTCCACTATAGTTGTTCTGTGAGAAAGACGTTGAAATTGACGTGGTAGATGTCAAAGGCGGGCGATTCGGATTCTAACTTATTGAATTGGGACATCATTCACGAAAACAAATAATAACAATGACAGTTATATCCCAGTTGACGTCATGCGCAGAACAAGACGAGTTTAAACTTTCTGTCTAGCACACCATCTTCTCCTTCCACTATAGTTGGTCTGCGAGAAAGACGTTAAATATGGCGTTATAGATGTCAAAGGCGGGTGATTCGGATTCTAACTTATTGAATTAGGACATCATTCACGCAAACAAATAATAACAATGACAGTTATATCCCAGTTGACGTCTTGCGCAGAACAAGACGAGTTCAAGCTTTCTGTCTAGCACACCATCTTCTCCTTCCACTATAGTTGTTCTGTGAGAAAGACGTTGAAATTGGCGTTATAGAGGTCAGAGGCGGGAGATTTGGATTCTAACTTATTGAATTAGGACATCATTCACGCAAACAAATAATAACAATGACAGTTATATCCCAGTTGACGTCATGCGCAGAACAAGATGAGTTCAAACTTTCTGTTTAGCACACCATCTTCTCCTTCCACTATAGTTGTTCTGTGAGAAAGACGTTGAAATTGACGTTGTAGATGTCAAAGGTGGCCGATTCGGATTCTAACTTATTGAATTGGGGGACATCATTCACGAAAACAAATAATAACAATGACAGTTATATCCCAGTTGACGTCTTGTGCAGAACAAGACGAGTTCAATCTTTCTGTTTAGCACACCATCTTCTCCTTCCACTATAGTTGTTCTGTGAAAAAGACGTAAAAATTGACGTTGTAGAGATCAGAGGCGGGCGATTCGGACGAGGAAATAATTTCCACGCAGAGTTCCACCAGAAGCAGGCAGAGCACGAGAAGGACCGGCGACGTGGCGGCAACCGAGGAATCGATGGCGGATGGAACGAACGGCTACCTCAACGGGCATTCGCAGCCTGAAAGTGAGGTTATGGAGGTGGACGAAACGCCGACTGAAGTTTCGGATGACAGGTGGGTTCGTTTGAAAATCATGCGGAGTTTTTTTTTTAACATGTTTCTGTTACCTACCTACGTATTTTTGTTTGAAATAAACCGATGTAAATGTGAACAAACCACCATTTATCGAGATATTTCACGAAAAAGTTCGAAATTTCAACTTATTATTTCGTCATTGGACACTTTATACACACGATGTACTTCAAAATACACCTCAACGGCCATTCTTAATTGAAAAGTGAGGTTATGGAGGTGGACGAAACGCCGACTGAAGTTTCGGATGGCAGGTGGGTTGATTTGAAAATTATTTTGCGATGTTTTTGTTTTTCGAAAAATGTTTCTGAACGAATTTTCGTCTGAAAAACGCGAATGTCATAAAGTAAATGTGATCAAACCACCATTTGTCGAGATATTTCACCAAAAAGTTCGAAATTTCAACATATTATTTCGTCATTGGACACTTTATACACACGATGTACTTCAAAATACACCTCAACGGCTATTCTTGATTGAAAAGTGAGGTTATGGAGGTGGACGAAACGCCTACTTAAGTTTCGGATGACAAGTGGGTTTATTTGAAAATTATTTTGCGATGTTTTTGTTTTTCGAAAAATGTTTCTGTACGTATTTTTGTCTGGAAAACGCGATTGTCATGAAGTAAATGTGAACAAATCACCATTTGTCGAGATATTTCACCAAAAAGTTCGAAATTTCATCTTATTATTTTGTCCTTGAACACTTTATACACACGATGTACTTCAAAATACACCTCAACGGCCATTCTTGATTGAAAAGTGAGGTTATGGAGGTGGACGAAACGCCGACTGAAGTTTCGTATGACAGGTGGGTTTATTTGAAAATTATTTTGCGATGTTTTTGTTTTTCGAAAAATGTTTCAGAACGAATTTTCGTCTGAAATACGCGAATGTCAGAAAGTAAATGTGATCAAACCACCAGTTATCGCGATTTTCCACGAAAAAGTTCGAAATTCAAACTTATTGATTGATTGATTGATTGTCTTTATTACCCCAAGAAACATAGTTGTTTATAATAGGGATACATAAACAATATACATAATGTTATACATACAATTATGAAATTATAATAAGATATAACAAGTAAAAAAAAAATGCAAATAATCATGCAATATCAACCTAGTCTTAGGTATTCAAATAAGAAATGGAATTATCAAAGTCTCTGAAGCAGATATTTTTTTAAGTTAATTTTGAATCTAGTTGCTTCCTGTATATTCCTCAATTGACTTGGTAATGAGTTGTATAGAACGATTCCTGTGTGAAAAATTGATTGTTTGCCGATATTTGACTTGAACGTATTTGCTATTAGTAAATTTGATTGTCTTGTTCCATGATTATGTAATAAATTGATTTCATTGAAATTTAAATTCGAAATTTTCAATTTATATGGGACAAATTGAATAAAACAACATATTTTAAGTTTATATAGTGATGTCAGATCTAATAAATCTCTAGGTTTGTATAAATTCATGGTTGGTTCGAGAAAATTTAGATTGAAAATACACTTCAATGTTTTATTTTGTCATTGAACACTTTATACGATGTACTTCAAAATACACCTCAACGGCCATTCTTAATTGAAAAGTGAGGTTATGGAGGTGGACGAAACGCCGACTGAAGTTTCGAATGACAGGTGGGTTTATTCGAAAATTATTTTGCGATGTTTTTGTTTCTCGAAAAATGTTTCTGAACGAATTTTCGTCTGAAATACGCGAATGTCAGAAAGTAAATGTGATCAAACCAGCATTTATCGCGATTTTCCATGAAAAATTCGAAATTTAAACTTATTATTTTGTCATTGGACACTTTATACACACGATGTACTTCAAAATACACCTCAACGGTCATTCTAAATTGAAAAGTGAGGTTATGGAGGTGGACGAAACGCCTACTTGAATTTCGAATGACTGGTGGGTTTATTTGAAAATTATTTTGCGATGTTTTTGTTTTTCCAAAAATGTTTCTGAACGAATTTTCGTCTGAAAAACGCGAATGTCATAAAGTAAATGTGATCAAACCACAATTTATCGATAGTTTTCACGAAAAAGTTCGAAATTTCAACTTATTATTTCGTCATTTGACACTTTATACACACGATGTACTTCAAAATACACCTCAACGGCCATTCTTAATTGAAAAGTGAGGTTATGGAGGTGGACGAAACGCCGACTGAAGTTTCGAATGACAGGTGGGTTTATTTGAAAATTATTTTGCGATGTTTTTGTTTTTCGAAAAATGTTTCTGTTACCTACCTACGTATTTTTGTCTGAAATAAACGAATGTAAATGTGAACAAACCACCATTTATCGAGATATTTCACGAAAAAGTTCAATATATATTCAATACAGTTCGCAAACCAATGTTCAGAAGGAAATAACCTGTCATTCGTCATTCAAAACAAAAAACGTCCTCATCAGACGAGTTAGTTTTGACGAAAATGTTTCCTTAACTTTTGGCTACTTTTTGATGGTCCGTTAATTTCTTGGAGAAGTGTATACAGTGTGTCCCACTAACCATGCTCACCATGGGTATCTTTTTAACGGTGAGAGATACGAGGTCGGTTAAATGACACCAAATGTGGAGTTTTTCAAGGCCAACTATAATGTGAAAAAATATTTTGATCAAATCTATTCGTTTTTGTTCTATGCGCAAAAAACAGATTTTGATCATTTTCATGTCTCCTCCGTAACTTCTTTATTTATGAAAATATTCAAATAGGAATTTCACATTCTCATGGCAGTGTTTCAAAATGATTTCGAAAAAAATATGAAATTTATACCAACTCTTCTAGAATTTGAGATATCAGCACCAACTTATTTAGTTTTTCAAGTGTAGGTCATAGCTCACTATGACTTAGTTACAAATAACTTTTTTTCTCTTACAGATGATATGTCGCAGTAATAGTTTTGTGTTGATAACAACGGAGTTATCGTCATTTATACAAAAACAAAAAATTATTTGAAAGCCGCCATCTTGAATTTATAAATTTTAACGAAAAAATCATGATCTCCGACCTCAAAAACCCCCATTTACCAATTCTGAATCGGACCAAATCTTGTCCGCCATCTTGGAGCAGCCATTTTTTTTTTAATTTCAACAAGAATTCGATAACTCCGATTAACTTGAAATTTGGCAGGTGTTCATGATTTCGGTAACAATTAATACATTATGGAATTCTTGTTGAAATTTAAATAAATGGCTGCTAAAAAGATGGCGGACAAGATTTCATTCAAAATTGGTAAGTAGGGGTTTTTGAGGTCGGAGATCATGATTTTTTTGTTGAAATTTATAAATTCAAGATGGCGGCTTCCAACTAATTTTTTGTTTTTGTATAAATGACGATAACTCCGTTGTTATCAACAAAAAACTATTACTGCGATATATCATCTGTAAGAGAAAAAAAAGTTATTTGTAACTAAGTCATAGTGAGCTATGACCTACACTTGAAAAACTTGAGTTGGTGCTGATATCTCAAATTCTAGAAGAGTTGGTATAAATTTCATATTTTTTTCAAAATCACTTTGAATCTTTGAAAAACTGCCATGAGAATATGAAATTCCTATTTGAATATTTTCATGAATAAAGAAATTACGGAGGAGACATGAAAATGATCAAAATCTGTTTTTTGCGCATAAAACAAAAACGAATAGATTCGATCAAAATATTTTTCACATTATAGTTGGCCTTGACAAACTCCACATTTGGTGTCATTTAACCGACCTCGTATCTCTCACCGTTAAAGAGATACCCATGGTGAGCATGGTAAGTGGGACACACTCTATAGTCTATAACCTTGTGATTTGGAATTAAGAAGCATTATCATTGTCCTCATAGGTTGGCGCAGTTCAAAGGCTGTTTGCAGAGAGCTTTCAGGAGTAGCATGACTCATTCTCTCAGCTTGAGTCATATAAAGGAATTCATCAATACCGATAATAACACCCCATTTTCGCAAGGGGAAATCATTGCCGCCATCAGTAAAATGACTGACGATAATCAAGTCATGTTAACAGATAATATAGTGATTTTAATTTGAAAACATAGTTATTCGTTCGTTGTTTACTCAATTTTATTTATTTTTTTATTTATGTAAAATGTTACTTCCAGTCAGAATCAAGTTCTGGTATAAGGAACTATAGTTAACAATAATACCTAAAACTATATAATTATGATAAACTAAGGAATAATATAATATTTGAAAACATTAAGTATTGAATTTTGACAAATCATTTCATATTAGTGAGCAAAAATCAATTTGAATATGAATCAAAAGTTGAGAAAAAAAATCATCTATTTCGTTCAGAAATGATAAATTTTTTAAGTTGGTATTTGAATTTTATTGTATTTCTGCATTTTTTTTATATTATCTGGTAATTTGTTATATTCCAAGAGAGCAGCGTGGGTAAATCTTTTTTGCCCTATAGAAGAATTAGCGATATCAAGATGAAATAAATCATGTTGTCTAGTTTGGTAATTATGAATTTCATTGTTTCGTGTTAAAATAAAATTAGATTTCAATCTTTTATTTATGATATTGTATGTAATTTTCAGTAATTCAATTTTGAACATTTCTCCTAATGAGAATGATTCAGTTATTTTATATAATAGATTTGTTGGTGTATCATATGGTAAACAATACAGTACTTTCAATGTCTTTTTATTCAATGCATATATTTTATTAAAATTGTTTTTTGAACAGTATCCCCAAACATTTATCAAATAGTTAATACGACTGAGTTTATGAGAATATAGAATTATATTTGCACCAATTGATATCAAAAACAGCCCAAATATTATACAATTCAAAAATAAAGTGAAGAAATATATTTATATGCAAATGAATTATCAAAGCTGAAAGACTATGAATTACCTTTACATTTTTTTTCACTGTTTTTTTCCTTCTTGTTCACTAATATAACTGTTATTTTGAGATATCTTAATGATATGTAAGTTTTGTTCACTATTTGTAATTTCAATTATACAACAGTCGATAATACTTCATGAATGATCTTATACGAGGAATTACTGTCTGATCATTCATTTCATTCCTACTAGAAAATTATACTTTATATATTATTTGTATGAAATGTATCAATGAAGAAGAGAATGTAATTCAATAACTGAAATAAATAAATAAATAAATAAAATTCATTGGCTAGGAGCAGAATAATATAGCAAGTTGGGCGTGGTTATTGTTTTCTTCGCTAAGTTAGTTTAAATTGATCTGAAGTGTTTTTAAATGAGCATTTGTTCGATTCATTCATAAATTTCTGTTGTTTTTAATCAACAATGTGTGTGCTATGTGTACAAGTATTTTGATTTTCTAGGTTATTACATTTGACAAAGTATAATCATTTTATTTGGCAACAGATGTCACTAGTTACCGTCTACTTCAGGAAATTACAGAATCCTGTCTTGCTTGCTCATTTACTCCTAACCCAAAGTGTACCTATTCAAATGGTTAAGTTTTTCTATCCATAATAGTGTCTCATGTACTTGTATTTTTAATTAGACCTATTTCATTTTGTAGGTACTTATGTTTTTGTATTTTTTCATTTTATCTATCAAATTATTGAATCAGAATAATTGGAGAGTTTTACTTTTTATCACTTTATTCCTGCAAATCCTCGTGAATTCTCAAAATAATGCAAATACAATTGTCGTCAACGTCATCTGACCTTGCGTTGACAGAAAAACTACGGGACAACAACTTTCAATCTAAGCCAGGAGTTGAGAATGTTTTCCTCATATATCTAGTATTTCTAGTTTCCTCATGACGTCATCCTGTCATCCCAATATATCAGATGATGACCTTGGCTACCGCGATCACTGCAAAAAATTAACTATCATCTATCAGCAGGGTTGCCAATTTGTGAGTTATTTCAGCGACTGTCCGACGTCAACGACATTCCAAGTAATTGACATGCATTGAAGATCTAAAATCCACGCTTTACTGATAGTAATTCATTATTCAATTAGCCTTGTTCTTTGGTGTTTGCTATGCCTGCCAAACTTGATATATCATCTCTTTTTATGTAGTGCGATGAACAAAAATAACGATGGAAAATAAATCAAATTCAGCAGATCGACCATCACTCACGAACAAACCTGATTTCTCATTCATTTGAAAATGTACGTACGCCGCCACTGAACCTTCAACATTGATGAATAAAGGAAAAAAACAGAAGGAGACATTGTCAGGTGACTGATTAGACCACAGATTACCAAATTATTTTCAGTCTCAAGGTCGTCGCGATCTGTCATCTGTCAAAACCCGTCTTATTTCATTGACAGATGGTGACCGAAAAAGGCAAACGATATAAGAATGATGGGAATAAGTAGATGGTGCGCGTATTCGGCCATTTTTACGTATTTGAGAACTTAGGAAACGTTATTCTACATTATTCCGCTAGATGCTGATAATGATGAAAGTAAGATATGGTGTAATTACTGATGCGCTTTTGTTTCAGAAATTTTACTCGACCTCTCGAGAGCAGCGAGAGCAATGGTTCCGTTGATCTTCTAATAGATGGCGACATTGCACAATTATGACAATATGACTTCTGTCAGTTTTGAAATTGTCGCAGATTTTTCGAATTCAGAGTTGTTCAATCCCACTGTTACATATTGGCATTTGCCATTTTATTTCCACTCGTCACAGCAGCCATAGCAGCATCACCATCTATAGCGGGGAAATGTAGAATCAACGTCTCGCTCGTTGTGACGTAGAGAAATCATAGTAGGCCGGTCGAGTGATTTTTCTGAAATTTTCAATACGTAATAATGGCCGAATACGCGCATCATTATGGTGATGCTGCTATTGCTGCTGTGACGAGTGGAAATGAAATGGCAAATGGCATTTCAGCTGCGTGGAACATAATATGTAACAGTGGGATTATTTAACTCTGAATTCGAAAAATCTGCGGCAATTTAAAAAATTGACCCATGTCATAATTCAAGGTTGGTAGAACTGATTATAATTTGTATAGGAAGGTTGCCTCGATCGATAGTGCGGCAAGGGGGGAAACGGTCACTCGTGACGTCACAGGCAGTAGGACGACAAGTTGTCAACCTTAAAGCGACATGTCATGAAATGTTTACCAAATAGAGTATACAAACATGATACAAACTTTTTGGTATGCTCAGCATATTTATATTAATCTATAGTATATAATTATAAGTAAGTACCATTATAAAATATGAATATTTACATATACTTCTGTATAATACCTTCAATCTTCGAAATGAGAAGGCAATTTTGGATGGATCAGTAGTACAGAGAGGAATACCTATCTGAAATTTTGTTCCAGGGGCTATTTACCAGGTCCTGGTACCAGGTATGTGTGTTTTGAGGTATGGAGCATAATTATGGAGCTAGTGATTACTTATGCATTGATTATGAACCTACTCATCCTATAAATATCCTGCAAATCAGATAATGTGAACAAGAAACTACAGAAAATATAAAAATAATCAACTGATGATCCAGAAATAGTAGCACTGGACCAATATTCGTACACAACAGATCACTTATTTTATCAATATACCTCTGTATTCTGAAAAATTAACAAACTTTCCTAGATACCTATAGAAAATACAAGAGGAAATAGTATTTTATTGTTTGATTATATTGTAGTCAAAAACAGAGCAATTGATCGAGGTATTTGAGCATAAATAAATAACAAAATATGATTCTGAACAAAATTAATGAAAAATAACACTACTATTATAAGTGAACCTATAATAAAGGATAGTTCAAGGAATCTCTCAAATAAACATAGCTCCTCTTCATTGGGTAACGTACTCTTGCTCAAATATTTCAACTTGAAAACACGTGTGATATATCTTCTGATGTCCATTTTACCCGTTCAGCAAGAATCTCAACATTCACAACTGGTGGTTCTGATCATTTTTCCAAACTTCCATACTCATGGTGTTTCTCTTGTTGTATTTGGTATTATTGATGGGATTCCTACCTTGAGTTTTCTTCTCTTTGGTGTGTGATTCAGCAATTCTGCTTGTGCCGTTCAAAATCCTCGGCATCGAAATTGGCAGAACATATTCGCCAAGTTTTTGGTATTAAATGAATTAAAATTACGTCCACAAAATTGAATCCATTTCTCACGAATAGACTCATCTTATGGAAATTAATGGAAACACAAACTAAATTCACTAGTCTCATTACACTTGTACGAATTTTAACAAGAAGTGACCGAATAAATTATCATTTTTACATTTTTAAGTTCAAAATGGTTCAAATATTCGAAAATACTGACAACTGTCAACTCAATACATGCGCCGGCCAATCGCCGGCGTACATATCATACACGAAGTGTACGAGAGTGCTACACTTTTCGTGCAAAAGAAAGGGCCTATTACGTCATGAGTGACTCAAGGTTACTCGCGGGGTGCGATCGAGGCAACCTTCCTCTACAAAATAGTCATCAGTTCTACCAACCTTGTCATAATTGTGCAATGTCGCCATCTATCCGAAAACAGCTTAAAATATTAATCACGGGACTCTCGGGTAATATCTGGTTGTGAGTCATCCCACATTTTTTAGTAGACCGGTTGGCAACCTTGTCTGTCACTTCTGTCAGAATCTTGTCAAGATTGAAGATTGTCAAGAAGCTCACCACTGTGTCAATTATATTTCTCAAAAATCTCAAATTAATAATATAAATCCATGAAATAAATTAACTAGAACCCCGTCTGTACTTTTTATTAGTCAAATAGAATAACATTATACCTATATGGAATAAAAAAAATGATAGAAACATGCATGTTGAATGTAAAAAAAAATCTCAGTTCTGTCTAACTGTACAACCCAAAACACAAACATCATTCATCAATATCGCCTTTGGTTTTTCCTGCTGTGCCTTTCATTGAAGTGTCCTCTACCCTCATTATGCTGATTATGATGTCTCCTTCGATTAGGTGAATTGTGTTCATCATCCTGGTGAAAAAACTTATAGTCCCTTTGCCTATCTTCTCTCTCATGGTAATGCTCATGTTCCCAATTACCATGTCTATTTCCACCAAATCTTCTAGGAGAATTGTCATTGAATCTCCTAGGTGAGTCATTACCAAATCTTCTTGAAGATTCATCAGAATGCATTTGTACATTGTGCCCCATTCTCAATTGTTGCACCCTTTCAGCTTGGAAGTCATTCCCAGGATGTTGTTGTTGTTTTTGGGCAGAGTTATTATTTCTTGGCTTGATATTGAGGTTCCTGTCAAACATACGAGCCCCATCCAATAGACGCAAAACGTAGTTCACAGACTCTAGGTGCTTGAAGGTGATGAAAGCAAAATTGGATTTCCTGCCCTCCTTGTCAGTTGGTATTTTGACCCTTTCCAAGGGTCCAGCTTGTAGAAACAGTTCGTAGAGCAGTTCTTCGGTAACTTTGTCTGATAAATTGCCACACCAAATCGTTTTCGAATCGTCCATTCTCAAATTTTATTGCATTTCTGAAAATTCAAATCTAAAATCTACAAAAACAGATTTTCTTGTGAAAGTTGTGAATTTTTCCAAACGTCTTACGTCATACAATTGTCACGAAGAATTTCTTCACTGAATTGTGCAGCGGAACAACTGCAGGAAGCTTGAGTGTATACTTATCTTTGTTCAACACATGCAAGAAAAAGGGATAGACTCACCGAAGTGAGAACGAAAACTCAGTTCTACTAACCTTGCACGTAGCTAGTCTCTTGTGATTTATCATTTCGTGTTCTGTGTCAAATGTCAATCAATGAACCTAACCTAAATTCTGATTCTGAACGTCAACAACTGATGAGTTTAAGTTGATAACTGATTATTAAATTATGATTTTGACTGAATTTTGAGATAAACACTGACAATTACTTTTCAAGTTTGAGATTTGATTGAGAATGTCCAAAAGAAACTATGAAAGCGCCTTTTACGAAAAGGAAGCTAAGATTTCCACTGACAGGAGGCGATTGAACGTGAAAAAACATACCCTGGACAGTGATGAAGAAGATGATGTTGATGAAGATAACATTCTAGATGCAGATGACATCGAAGGCGAAGAAGATGGCATCGATAGGCAAGAAGGCGAACAAAAAATGACCGCTTTCAACATGAAAGAGGAAATGGAAGAAGGCCATTTTGATAAACAAGGACATTTCATCTGGAACAACGAGAAAGAAGTCAGGGATAACTGGCTAGACAACATTGATTGGCAAAGAATAAAACATTCCTCTGATAGCAAGGATAAGTACAATGTGGATGAACAAGGTTTGGGAGCAGAGAGTGACTCTGAATCTGAGACAGGGGACAAATTTGATGAGATTCTTTCTTACAAGAATATGTTACAGTACATGAGAGCCAAAGAGACTGTTAATAAAGCTTTGAAGCGTTTGGGAGGTGCTGATATGAAACTATCCAGTGTGGAGAGGTTGAAACGTAAAAAGGCAGGCACTCTCATTGATAACAAGGATGTGATCAATTTGACAGAGCTGGCTAATGGAATATTAACTAAACTGGGAAATATGGATGTTTACCAAGAAACATATGAGCATATTCAAGCCAAAGTTGCTGACAGTGAGAAGAAAAACAGAGCAGTTGTCTCTGAACCTGAGCTAGATATGTATGCTGATGATTTTGATGAAAAGGAAAAGAAAGTCAAATTTGGAGGTGAATCATCCAGTTCCCATGAAACTGGAGCAGATGATAGTCTGAATCAAAAAAATGAACTTTTGTGGGAATTCAAATGGAAAATTGAGGATGAGGAAATACATGGGCCCCATAGCACAGCCCAGATGGTTAAATGGTCCAAAGAAAATTATTTCAAAGGTGGAGTAATGGTCAGAAAATGTGGGGAGAACTCCAATTTCTATACCTCAAATAGAATTGACTTTGAATTGTATGAATAGAGCATTTTAAATATATGTTATACCTTTTTCATGGGTTCTAAATAGCACAAAAAGTGAAATGAAAAAGCTTTTTGTGTTTCTGTACCTGCATTTATTTGAAATTATATTGAATCATTTTCCAACATCTTGTATGTTATCTAATTTCATTTGAATACTTTCCAGTGTATTATAAAACTGCAGAAGTTCATTTTTATCTAATTCAACTGTTAGGCTATCCTCTTTTTCATCAGATAACTTCATCAAATTAAATTGCACCCTTGCCAGTGGAAGGCTTTCTTTATTGGATATTTGATCAGCACTTTGTACATTCAATTCCCAAGCTATATTTTTCAGTTTCATTCTATTTTCAAAATCACCAAAATGGTCATTCATCTGTACAGACCAGAATTTCACAAATTCTTCAGCATTTTCATTCTCAAAACCCAATTTCTCACAAAGTTCCTTTTGTAGAGCTGTTGGTTTCAATATCACTTTGCTAGACTGCCTCAAAATGTGAGAGATAGTCTGAATTAACAGTTGTAGAGTCTCCTCAGTCAGTCCCAATAACTTTTGTAGTTTCTGCAGTTCTTCTTCAGTGAAAGAAACTTCTGGTTTATTACTTGATAAATGGGAAAGAAGCTGTACAAATGTTTGTCTGTTGAGGGAATTGATGAGTTGAACTCCATTTTTTAACCTATGGAAAGAAACAGATGTTATATCAAAAAAACATACAGATAATCCAACCTTGTGTTAATTGTTATCCACATTGTTTAATATTTTTAAGCTTTATTGAAGGAAAGAAGGAATTGTAAATTGTAAGACATCTACAAAATGGATTTTTTATTTTAGACTCGAAAAACAGAATGATACAGAAAACAGAAAACAGTAAAAAACACTAGCAAGTAGCATCGAATCATCGAAAGTTGTTGTTCAATTTTCAATTATTCTTACCGGTGTGAAGTTGGCAGACCAAGCCAGCGGCTAAAATTTCCGAAGTTATCCGGGAGCCCAGTGGCGCACCAAATGTTTTTTTCAGGGTGTGACCTTGGCAGACTATCAACAGCTAAATTTTTGAAGATGAACAGTGGCTGACTATTTTTCTGTCTGTAAAATTATTCGAATAAGCTATTATGATTCTCATTCGCATAACAATAATTACAGTTATATTGATAGCAAATGTACAAGTATTTACCTAATTTTCTCTCCTTTACAAAAGTATGTCGTGTTAACGACACCACGCATTGATGAAGAAAAATTATTTATGTTAACACGTTAATTTCCTTTGAAGAATATGATTTCTACCAGAAATAATTTCTATCTCTGCCTGGCTGAGTATTTTTTTTTTTCGATACACCAGCACCCTTAAATTCAAAATCGATTTCTGAAGCTCAGCACAGGACTGCCGCGATTAAACATGATAGAAAGGCTTTATATTTTCATCCAAAGAATGATACCTTTCAGGAATAATTACTACCTCTGCCAGCTGACTATTTTTTTTGATGCACCATCACCCATATATAGATATAAAATTCGCATATGATTGTTATTTTATCAGTTAAATTTCACTTCTCTTGTCTGTATATAGTAATTATTACTGGTAGGTATCATATTCTTTGGATGAAAATGAATAAGCTTTATTCCTATCATGATTTGAATTTAAGGGTGGTGTATCGAAAAAAGAAATACTCAGCAGGTAGAAATCAATTTCTTTAGAGGGATTAAAGCGTTACCATCATGTTTGATAACGGCAGTCCTGGAGCAAAGCCCTGGAAATATCTATTTTACCTATATTATTTTTCTTCGTCAATGCGTATGGTAGTGTTACACCACATAGGTACTTTTGTGAAGAAGAAAAAATTAAGGCCCATATTTATAGTCGTTTCCTCAAGACTTCCTCAAGGCTTCCTTATCTGAGGATTCCTCAGCACTTGAAGGAATGACTTGTTTTATAAACATTCCTCAAGTGCTCCTTGTGTAAGGAATCCTTACATTTGGCAACAGTGTTCAATGTTAGTGTTCTGTGACCAGATTCTGCTGATTTATGTCGATTTCTGTTTCGTGCCGTGTTGTGTCAATATTTCAAAAATTCAAATTTGAAAGTGAAAAAGCGAGGTAAGTGGAAATTTTTGATTCTGTAGACTTAAAGACTGATACTAGATGATTTTTTCAAATTTACAGATGAGTGATATTGATAGAAAAGTATTCTCCGTAAGAGAGAAGGTTCTGCTTATGTCTTTGGTGGAGAAATATAAGAATATATTGGAAAATAAAAAAACCGATGCTATACAGATCCAACAGAAAAATGAAGCCTGGAATAAAATTACTCAATTTTATAACTCGAGCGATGTATCCAGAAGGACCACAAAGCAATTAAAAAAACTATGGGATAATTTGAAACAAAAGTAATAACCTGATATTCATTCCAATTATATATTGGAAATATGAATATAGTTCACCCAATAATACTCATCACCTATAATTGAACATTTTTAGGACTAGAAAGTCAGATACGGAATTCAAAAATAAAATGCTGAAAACAGGTGGTGGTCCTTCTTCAAAAGTAGATGATGATCCGCTAAATGTAATGGTGCGGTCAATTGTTCCTACCATTAATTTCATGATAGATAACAAGTTTGATAGCAATGCTGCATATGTCGAACAAAGTGAGATAATATGTTATTCTTTTACATCAATAAATGAAAATGATTTATCATTTTGCTATAATATACTGTGCTAGTCAAAAGTCCCCTCCCCCCCTCGTATCTTTTGAACGGGTATACTTATAATAATGAAATTCGGATGGTGGAAATAAACGGATGTAGGCTTCTCAACTGGTCATAACAGGTGACGCAATAGTTTATTTCCACCCTCCAAATTTCATTATTATAAGTATACCCGTTCAAAAGATACGAGGGGGGGAGGGGACTTTTGACTAGCACTGTATAATATATCATATAATATTATACAGGGTGTTCCTTAATGACATGCTAATAATATATTCAAGTCAATAGCGTGACAAAAATGACTGCAAAAATGTCGTCAATTATTGATCGACTGATGTCTATGACCAAAAATCACCAGATATTGACGTCATTTTAGACGTGCTTCTGTGGGCTGGGAAACGTCCTAACTTTTGATATACAGAAGTCTTTGAGGAACACCCTCTATAATAATGAAATCTTCAATAACATATATTTATTCTCATAGGAAAACATTTGGAATCATCATCTTCTCCTGAAGTTGCACCAGTACCAGTGGATGAAGGTATAGTTTATAATAATCCATATGGTAATATGGTATATATACTTACTTATTTGGAACAATGGTTTCAGGATCTGTTATTGAAATGGAAGAAGATGATATAATAAGACATGAACAGTTTCCATTAGGTAAAAATCTTGCCAGATTTATCATTGATAAAATTCGTTTTTTTTTTCAAATATATGGGTATAGGTATTTCTTTTTTGTAGATCTGGATTATGAAATTCAGCACGACGTACCAAATAGGAATGATGAAAATGTAACATTAGTTCCAGGTAAAGGTAATAAAAACAATATATTAGATATTGTCTCTGGAATTTCTGTTTTTCAGATATATCAAAAAAAAACTCGCGAAAAACAAAAAATAATAACATTTCATTAGTTGAAAAAGAAAGTCAGCTGAGACTTACAAAATTAGAAAACGCCATTCAACAGCAGACTGAACTGCATAAAATGAAATTAGAAGCAGCTGAAGCAGAAAAATTATTCTGGATTAAGAAAACCCAGTTGCTAGATAGAGAAGATTCATCTTTCAATTTTTAAAATTAAATCATTAATTGTTACTTATTCCTTAAATAAATTATAATAAAAGTTATACGGCTCTGAAAAGTCCACATTTGAAAATAGTTTCAGATTCACAGGGTGTTCCATTTTCACGCGCAATAGCAAAAATAATAGATTTTTCAAATGGAATACCCCTGTATTTTATTGCATTCTTAGATTCTTCTAGAAGAGCTGATTTTATCAATGCATCACACTTATTGGGGTCCAGCGGAAATGATTACAGGGATATATAGGGTGTTCAAAATCGAGATTTTTCAACTGTTAGGATTTTTTGTGTCCGAACTATTCATTATTGGCCACAAAACGGCTCACATATGTCCCTTTCTTAACTTTTATGATTATCTATCTACTGACATTTAATTGGAACAAATAAAGAGATAGAGGGTGGTTCAAAGATTCAGAATTCTGATCACCCTCTGTATCAATTGAAGCTTTTAAAATTGGAAAATGCAATTCAACAGCAGACAACTGTATAAAGTGAAACTTGAGGTTGTAGAAATAGAAAAAATGTATTGCATGGTTAAGAAAAACTCAATTGTTGGAAAAGGAGAATGTATTTAATTAAATAATATATATATATATATATATATATATAGTATAGATCAACACATATATCTATATTTTGAATGGAACTGTTCATTATTTCAAAGTAGAGGTACCAAATTATAAATACCTACTCCCAGGAATATATAGGTACTGTAAATTTGCGAATTTGTCATGTTTCAGATTTTTTGTCGATTTACCTTCAATAATAAAAATTCAGGAAAAGAGTTTTGAAACCTTATTTTCGAGCATTAATAGAAAAACTATATGTATTTCATCAATTTTGATTCTAAACAAGAAGAATATGTCACTAGTAATAAAATCTTTCATTGCCACATGGGACAATAAATATGAAAATAATAATATAGGATGTCCTTTGACTTTTGGCATAAAATCTAATATTATATAGGTCTATTATATACTTTTGCATTCACTTCTCTATAAAAAGACTTGAAGGATAACAACAACAGTTGAATTTGAGGTAAAAAATCAAAACCAATACCTAATCGGAAGAGGTAATAATGCAACATCAAGCAGTAAGTAGAATCTGTTACCTTCTTGAAAACATTCATATAGATACTCCAAGATTACGAAATCCTGATGGAATGGTGCACTGGTGGTCACCTAGGTGGTTATTCACATACCTGAATGAAAAACAATATTAGTACACATGTTTGTCTCAACATACCCATAAAATCAATTAATATCAAAAATGTATTTGTATAAATGCCCTTCGGAATGCTAATCCTTCTACATTATTATCAATATTTTCAAATATAATATTTTCTGCAATATTGACCACATCTTCTGCTTCTTCATCTTCAAAAATATCATTCATCTGCCTTCCAATATTATGCAATACTGCTGTTGCACAAATTATAGTGGCAGATGTCTCTAATTTTGTGTTGAGTGTTCTTTTCAAGCATGGGAATCTTCGCTTCCAAATGCCAAACACTCTCTCTACAATATTTCTTGTACTCCGATGTGCTCTATTGTAATTCCTTTCAGTGACATTGCTTGGATTCAAAACAGGAGTCAACAAGTACCTCTTGCACCCATATCCATTATCACCCAGTATAATACCTGAGATTTAAATAAATATAATATATATTAGATACTTCTCTTTCCTCATTGCTGCCATTAATAGTTCAGAAAATGGAAAAATCAAATCAGATAATTGAAGATGCCCAATGGATATTACCATCTAGCTGATTCTCTTCAAACAAAATTCGTAGAGCACTTTGGGCAAATATTGTGTTATCATGGGTTGATCCTGGATGTCTGACAACAATATCTAAAATTTCCATATTTGGACCACATGCAACCTGAGAGCAAGAGGAGTAGGTATTAGCTAATAGCACAAAATATAAGGTGAACCATTTATAATAGGGACCTGGACATTCAGTGAAAATTGTCCTTTCCTGTTACGGAAAATTTCTCCAATATCTCCACCAGGATTCAAAATTGAGATATGGGTTCCATCAACACAAGCTGCAACATTTGGAAATCCGGCTATTGTGTGAAATTTCCTTATATTTTCTTGTTGGCCATCAGCATCAGGAAAATGTATGAAATTGTTCAAATGTTCT